CGTCTCTCCGAGTGGCTTCCTCGCTCAGCAGATGATGCGAACAAACAGTCTGTGGGGTTCTTCTTATGGCGTCAGTTGGTGATGGATTGCTTTCGTCTGTGTTGGACGTGTGGACTGCCTTGTCGTTCTCTTACTTCTTCCAGCATGCTATGAATTCCCTGCAGCTTGTTTGTTTGTTGTGTATTTTGGTTGCCGCATTGACGTTGCTTTGTGCCTTGCTGCATTGCCGCCTTCCATGCAGTTTGCTTGTGTGCCATGTAGTTTGGCCACTATTGCAGTGCTGCTCTGTGCTTCCCTGTGTTGTTGCTTTGCTGCCAGTCCATTTGTGCGGTTGTTCCATGCAGACTCAGTTAGATTTGGCACTGTGCAGCTGGGTTGACTCCATAGTCTTGCCTGGTGCTTCGCTGAGTGGTTGCCTTGCTGCTAATAGCCTGCTATGTTCCGTTTGTGATGCCGTTGGTGGGCCGTCCACTTTCAACAAGGTTTAAAGAGTCCATGACTCAAAGCATCAATATCAGGACTCGGCAGATTGTTGAGGGTTCAGACTCCTAATCAGTTGGTGCAAGTCTGATGAAACAATCTGTCATCATCAGTTTTCAACTCTTTATCCTTTTGCGCTCTTTTGATTCTGTTGGTACTTGTTCTCTGTCTTGTCTATTGGTTGTTGTCTTTTCCCTACCTTGTGTGCTTGAGTGTTGTCTGCCCCCCCGTGCCCTCCAGCCTATGTGTGCCCCACTGGTTTTGCCTTGCTGCTTTCTTCCTGCCTGTTTCTTGTCTGCTGCTTGTTGTATCTTCCCTGCCTTGTGCGCTTGTGTGTTGCCTCAGGTCATTCGGTTCATGGCCAATATTTTAGCAGCCAGGAGTTTATTTAATGGCTCGAGGTATATGCTGAAAGATGGCGCAATGGGCTGCACTGTGTACGGAGGCATAGTGCAGTACGCTATGTCTGCAATATGCAACACACATACACACACACAGGCACACACGCACACACACACACACACACACACACACACACACACACACACACACACACACACACACACACACACACACACACACACACACACA